AATAACCACTAACCCTGCAACAACTCTTTCTGAAAATGCTTTTTTTTAAAACTCAGGCCAAACACTCTGTTAAGGGCACTGTTCTTACCAATAAACGTGAATTTTCACAAATTTTCCGATTTTCTGAAAAATTAGCAAACTCCTATGATTCGTTCATGGCTCATTTGGAAGAGAAATGTTTACTCTATAATATCACATATTTAGACATAATAATATGTTTAACTATCTAGGAATAAATAATAGAAAACTGAAAAAGTCCATATTTTTAAAATTGCATTTTTCTCAGCACTTTTTAAATATAGGTCATGCATATGGCGGTCTCAAAATAAAGCTTACTTCATTTTTTTCAGCAGGCAATTCCACATCGATTTATATGCAATAGAACGTTTTAAAACACTAGGATGATGTACTGTAAATCAACTATTGGAGACAGGCATAGGTTTGATCATTTTCTTACTTTTCTAAATTTTAATTAAAATCTCAAAGATCTGGACATACAACCTTTTCTTGTGTCATTACAGATGTAGAACAAACATTTTTCTACAAAACGAACGTCGGCAAGCTCTGTGCGATGATTTTTCATGATTTTACATACGTTTTAAGACAAAGCACTGTATTTGAGATCTGTCTCCTACTGGTTTTTACCTCAGTTTTGATCCATTGGCCAAATGCAATAATTAACATATGATTGAATAGAGTATCGAAAGTTACATCTAATGACATGTCTTTTTATCTTCATCAGTTCACGATATGGTCATTGCTGCAGCGGAGCGTGTCTAAAGTTTCAATTCAATTTACTGTTACACGTTGATGGAAAATTCAATCAGTATTAACTTGAATCTTAGAAATATCTTTGTGCTCTTTGAGAAAAACGTATTTCTTAGTAAACAAATTAAGAGCTCGCCAATGTAGAAAAAATTAGAGCTCAAAAGATGATTTCTTATAAAGAAAATGAATTTTTTTTCTTTTCTATACTGATGACCTGCTGTTGCAACATCGATAAAGCGTAAGAAAGCAGAAGAAAATAATATTCTTTAAACAAGTCATGTGGCGTAAATATTCATCCAGTCTGTGACAGCAACAATCGCTGCATATTTGGCACTGTCAGAAGGTGGCTTTTTTAACGAGGCATATTGCATGAAACATGACTAAAACAGTTTCTATTGAAAACATGCGGAATCGAATTCTTAATAGAAAGTTATTTTTCAGATGTAGAAACACTTTCGATGTTAAGAAACCGTGTTCTTTTTGCTGAAAGCTTCAGTATTTTTTCCTGAAAAAGCTTGAAATTCATTGTTGCCTAGTTCGACAGATCAAAGCATTTCATATTTACGTTTTATTGGTATTGTTTCAGAAAATTTCGACCACTTTCAGTTACATGATTTTATATGGAACAGGCATTAAATGAAAGTCGCAAAACTAGTAGTATAATTGGATAACTGTGTGTTTGATGCGCTATTGCTGAACAAACATATTTTGTACACATGAAATAAAAAGATGCTATTTTTTTTCGCTTTATTTGTATGACTCAATGATTTTTGTAAGCCATTTTGGCTCTCCTAAACTTGAAAACGTCCATTCAGTTGTATATCATCATTCACACGAATATTCAGTTCCGATTTTCGCATAGAATAGAATATAGTGACTTTTCAAAAGCACTAAAATGCATCTAGAGATTATTCTACTGCTGCAAAAATTTTCCGTTCAGCGAAAACTCTTTTTTGTTTCAACCATAACTCAGCAGCGGAGTGGCTTTCCAGCCAACGGTTTTCACCAAAATGTTATCCATTTCTCCGAGTATATTTGTGAGAAAAAAATTTAAAATAGCTCGAACTCTCTGCGATATTTGCTTCCAGAGAAATCTGGGAACTATGAAATGGTGTTAAGGTGAAAGGATATGGTGGCGCCCGTATCTGATGCAAGTTTTACGGCTTTCAGTAAAACTCTCATAACTATTGATCAGAACATCAGTCAGAGCTGGGAGATATCTCGTTTTGATCAGAAATGTTTGCTCTATTTTGCTATCACTAAAAGTAGTTTTCGATTTGCTTTTTAGTGGCAAAGTAAGCCCTATTTACTGGCCAGCTGAAATACAACTTCCACATCGTGAAACTTGTTCTTTATAGAACTAGCTTCTTCCAATCCGCATGCGCATTATTGCTTATTTTGTGGTATTATCTAGTGAATGGTGGCATCCCCATAAGACTTGAAATCGGCCCACTAACTTTTAACGCTCTAATCGATACAAAGCCCATCAAAATCAGATTCGATCATCACATTTTATGAACTCTATACTGCATGTGTTAATAAGAAACTTAACGGAGCCTGGCAGCAGGTTATGAAACCAAAGAGGACTTCCGATCATTCTTACACTTGTCCAAGCGCCTTGAAGAGCTCTAAAACATGTTTTAATAGGAAACTTAACGAAGCCTGAATACTGGAAAAAAACTGTTTTATGAAAAAATGCCGTAAAGAGCTCGGAGACATCTCACCTTCTTCAGAAATGTATGATCTATGCGATGAATATTTTTCCAAAGAATTTCTAGATTGAACTTGGAGACTTGGTTTTCCGAGATTTCGGTTTTCCAGAGGCTCTGGTTTCTAGAGTTTTGATAGAACGTTTTCATGCAGCACCTAAGATTGTAAATTTTTTGCGCTGTTCAAATCTGTTTTCAAATTTGTTCTAGCTATTATGGTCGACGCGAAAGTTGAAAAATAGAGGTAGAGAATAATTTTGAACCCACTGTAGGTTTAAATGGCGCAGTATTTAATACCTGAAATCGCTGCCAAGCTTCGCTAAGTTTCCTATTAAAACATGTTTTAGAGCTCTTCAAGGCGCTTGGACAGGTGTAAGAATGATTGGAAGTCCTCTTTAGTTTCATAGAAGAAGGTGATCACGAGTTTCCTTGGCATAGCCGAGATCTATGGAAAATTCTAGTATTAAACCCATAAAACCTGCTGCCAGGCTCCGTTAAGTTTCTTATTAACACATGCAGTATAGAGTTCATAAAATATGCATAACTTGACTTGCGCTATCGTCTAAACGTCTCACTAATCCAAAAGGCATCAAATATGAATAAACTTATTTAAACATGGGTCCCAGTTCGAGATTATCTTTATAATTTCATATGTCAATTAAGTTGTGCACCGTTGTGTATCCACTGAAGAGTGTTCCTATACATGTAAAGAAAATTGCTATAAATACTTTACGACTTTGATAAAAAAAATGAATCCCGGACACATACCTCCTGACTCACAGTCACATCAGCGGTGAGAAAATCTCCTTAAGAGCCAGTCATTGCAGATAAGCGACGACCAAGTACTGCAGAAACTGCTCATCGACTTTCTCCAAACTTGATTTCAGTTACATAGGTCAAAAGTACAATCAATAGCAAGTTTTTTGCCGCAAATCGCAGTTCTACAGTCCAAGTAGTTATTGAGATATTCAAGTTTTAAGAAAAGTTGTCATTTTTTGGGTGGTGAATTAGGATCAATTAGCGCTTAATCTTGAGTGTGTTATTTTCTAACGGCTTGACTTAGAGACGCGAAAACTTCAGCGAAAATACAACTTAGATCAGGCTAGAAAATAGTGCAAGTCCGGACTTAGAGGTCGTTTTATTATCGAGTTATAGATGGCGCTCCCGCTACTACTTCGGCATTCATTATCTCGTGCGTAACCAGCTCAGTAAGGCTCAGCCTTTTAGGGTAGATACTCGACGAGTGGAATGATAAAACGGCAAAAGAAAAATTTTGGACTTCCAAGAGGAACGCGAGATATTGAATTTTTAGTGAAATTTTCGCGTCGACGGATAGATAAATGAGATCAGTCGTATCATCTGATCAACAATGAATAACTGACTTGGCATTACTGCGGGTATCTCAATGGTAGTGCAGCAGTTCAATGACCAGTTAACTGATTTAACAATTAGAAAAGCTCCTCGACCAATCTTAACATCATCTTCAGCATCATTAGCTTTGAAAGATATTACTTTAAGATCTACGAATGTTGGTAAGTCAACTCGGACCACAGTAATTAAATAGTTGATAAAATATAAACTATTACATGAAGATTTTTATTTTGCTACGTGAAATAAGATCTGAGTATCAACCGATATGGATGAGGTTCGATTTATCTACTACCTGATATGTTAAAATAAAAGTATTACAGTTTTTCTAAGAATTAATTACTGTTATGATCAGAGTCAAACTTCGCATCTAATCCATTTGATTTCGGAAGAATTCAAAGAAAAACCCTTTCAGAAACTCTTAAAGAGGCTAAAATCGTCTAAAATATCATATCTGAAGTTTGAGAGGGTAAGAGTGGACGTTGCAACGAATTGTGTTCATCCTACATTGGTATGGATTAATGTAAAGACTGTTCATATGTTACAATTTTTTCATGTAATCTTTATATATTCCATTCATCTCTTTACACAGCTTCACCTGCCAGTTTTGAAAAAATTTTCATATGTTTATTGTTTGTTAATGAAACGTAAACTTTCTACACAAAAGAATAAAAGAAATGAGGCTAAGGTAACTACAAACACCACATTATCTTTTACACATGTCTCTGAAATGAGTGTAAATATGGTTGATTTTTTAAACAAGACAAAAAATAAACACCTTTTATAACACTAGAAGTTTTACAGATAACTTTTCATACTGATAAATACTAGAAGTATAAAATATGTATAGAAAGTGTTTGAAGAAGATAAATGCTGCAACACATACATGAAGCTATTACGAGAATCATTGCTGGTTTAAAAGATAAAGATTTACATGAAATAATTGATATTAGTGCAGACACATTTCACACACTACTATCGGCATTTAAGAAAGAACGAGTTGATAAAAAAAGTTCGGTTTTTCTTAGAATCGTACCAGATTTTATTGAACAAACTCAACTTCCCGTATTTTATTTAAATGAAATCATTCGATGCACTGTTAGATCCATCGTCACTGTCAAGAGCACTGTCAAAGGTACAAGGGTACCATGCATTTTAGCGCTGAAACTGATATTCCGTTTTATGTTCTATTAAATCCCAGTGCGATAGAATTTGTCTGCAATCTCGTAACATATTTTTACAATGAATGTTTACAGTTATATCGGCCAGGTAAATAGTATATAAATTTGAATGAGCAATATCAGTTCTGTTTTTATCAGAATAATCGGATGGATCCAAAGAATATTTAATATCTTCAAATTGTTCTATATTTCTGAATGTTATACTTCGTATATTGTTCAAATGTAGTGGTAAAACTTCAGAACAAAAGCGATTAAAGAGGCCTTTTGATACATTTGTCAGATCAACATCGTAGGAATAAGGTGTAATTAGTTGTTGAACACGTGCGTTTAGATTATTAAATGAGTAGAGAATATCAATTGGTTGTAAATGTTTAAATACTGATAACAANTATTTAATATCTTCAAATTGTTCTATATTTCTGAATGTTATACTTCGTATATTGTTCAAATGTAGTGGTAAAACTTCAGAACAAAAGCGATTAAAGAGGCCTTTTGATACATTTGTCAGATCAACATCGTAGGAATAAGGTGTAATTAGTTGTTGAACACGTGCGTTTAGATTATTAAATGAGTAGAGAATATCAATTGGTTGTAAATGTTTAAATACTGATAACAAATCTTCCATGATTCACAAGAGATGGAGAAATTTCTGTGTATCACTTGTAATCCCAAGTACTCAGTGTGCGCGTGTGTGTGTGTGTTTGTGAATACAGAATTTTGTAAATATTTTGTTCTGGAAGAATATGCAAAATTTGGGAGAATTTCGCGTTTGTAACCATTTTTTGCGTTACACCACTTATGTTTTTGCAACCTCTTCTGCATCATTCAGTTGAATAACGGTTTTGGTTTTTGCGACATGGGATCGTATTAATAACTTTAGTTATAGTACGGTCAGGATATTGCAAGCGCCTTTTTCATCTTTCTTTTATATAGAACTCTCCAGAAATCTTCACCAATATACAGCATTTGGCATCGTCATTCTCTGTTCGTGCGGTTTTTGATGAAGGATTAAAACTTTAATTTGAAAACAAAGGACTATATCATTTGTTAACTTCATGTAGAGAATGATGATACTCTTGAAATACCCAAGTATAGTGAGAAATTAAGCATTTCATGACAATGAAAGCAGCTCAGTGGATGTAGACTTCTCTATGCTTCTGGTGTAGTGGCTTCTGTATGAAATGTATAAAAAACAGCCTGAAGTGTAGGGCAACGCAAAGTGTGATATCACAGTTTTCGGACATGACAAAGACGGTTGAACAAGACGAATTGATACATGGCTAACATTTTAAGCGAGACAAGGTTACTTACAGACGCGACGAACTACCCATGTACAACAGTAACGAAAGTTTGTCGAATGATTAGTTGCGGAAGTGAGACCGGTTGCCGATGATAACGAGGTGCCAGAACTCATGTACAGACACGAGAAAATGTTCTCAGATTAGACAAACTATGTTGTGCGGACACGATGAACTACTGCTCTGAGACATCATACTGAAACGCCAAAACTTCTTCAATGAAACTACTGCACTATGAATCTCAAAAACGCTTTTTGCGAATTATGAAGGAGTGCATTTTCCAAACGAATCAGTGCTTGATTAAGATCTAAATTCAATCTTTCTACAGAACCACAACATGCACTCCACACTCTAACCAACTCTCGTCAATAAATACATTCCGAATCATGTTTGTCTGTATCATCATACGGTGGAGTGTGGTTGCAGCGACCTAACATATGTCTGTAGCGATTATAGACTGGAATATAGTCAGCTCAGTTCCTTGTATACGGAATTTTAGCAATTCTTTTCTAATAGCTTTAAGTTGCGGGACTTTCTCAATGCTAAAATACGTATGCTATTTGAATGCACGGGTACGGCGTGAGAGCAAAATCGAACGGACGGGGTGACTAATACTTTAGATAGATCAATGTCGCAGGAAGAGGGATTATTAGATTATTAAATTAGTAAAGTATATCAACTTTATGTAAATATTCATAGACGTGTAACTATAACCCATCCGGTAGTTTTTCTATTGTAGCAGAGAGAAGAGATGAAGTGACTATTTGTCTGTTGTAAATATTAGGAATAGATTTTTAAGCAGAAGGTAAGAAATGGAAAGAAACGACAAAGAAATAATAACGAGCGCATGAATCAGAATTATTTATTTTATTCTACTTGCTTTTACGAATCATAAGCAGCCATTCACATGGAGTTCTCTACAAATCTGTGTGCTTAGAAGGATTTTAATTGCATAAGTATCGAGGAAAAACCTGTTATTCGAAGACCCGGTTTTTCGGGGCCCCGGGAAAACTTGCTCAAAATCAGCAAAAAACCACTTTTGTAACCAAAAGCGATATAGATTCTGAAAGTAGACGCTTCATGTTATCTTTCCATGTGCATATTTCAAAACCGATGTTTTGACCGAAAATCACCATTTCTGAGGGAAGCCCCTTAAGTAATCAATTTGTGCACATATTGTTTAATGTCTCCCTTCTTTCACCAAGACTTAAACCGATTACCACATTTTACTGGCTTTCTTTATGATTTTAATATATGTCTTTTTCTTGTTTCTTTTTTGTGTAGTGGGGTGATTTGATCAAAGCTTTTTGTTAAACTTTTTATCACCACCTTGTCAGGTTTTTAAGAACATGAGTTAAATAAATTTGATTGGTTGATATATGCGTGATGGAATTTTTTTCTTTCTTTCTGTTAGATGGTAAATTTTATTTGCATTTTAGCTTCTATCGAAAAATATGACTAACTAATTTATATCCTTCGGTAAATAAAAAAATATATGAATCACATCAGTAAACCTACTTTCTATTTCATCTGAATTATTCTATCAGAACACAGATGCGAAATTATCCTTCTCTGCGCTGTGAATAAATTATAAGTCAAAAGCAAAATTGGTATCGTTTTCTTCCTCTCTCACAAACATTAAAACTATTACTCATTATCATATGTTCAAAATTAAATCACATGGCTTCGTCTAAACATGGCATTAATGATTCTACAGTAAAAGACTTGTTGAAAAATTATAGACGGAAGGAAGATCATTGGAATCTGTCCAATCAGCAATTGACCGATCAAGACGTGCAATTAATTGCAAACAAACTAAAAGCAAATCGATACTGTAAAACTCTGAATCTCGATAGTAACCTAATAACAGACAATGGGTTGTTCGAACTATGTGAAACGTTAAAGGTAAATCAGATACTGACACAACTTGTATTTGCAAATAATCACATAACCTTACATGGTCTAAAAAGGTTATGTGATGTATTAAAATGTGATAACACGATACTCGAGCTGTTAGTATTGGATAAGAATAATCTAATGGATGATAGTGTCAGTAAATTATGTGAAATGTTAAAACTCAATCATACATTGAAGGAACTCTATCTGGATTACAATCAAATTAGTGATGACGGTTTTATAATATTGTGCAATATACTGAAGTTTGATAACAACACAGTTACTAACTTAGGTGTATATAATAATCAGATAACAGACAAGAGTGTTGATGTGCTAATGGATCTGCTTACTGTCAACCGTACATTGAAAACATTACTTCTGTATGGTAATCAGATATCAGAGGAAGGACAAATGAGATTAGCGAAAGAAGCTAAGAGACGAAATATCAATCTATATCTATAAGTAGCATATATCGACACAAGAACATTGAACACTAATAGTGTCATATAACAGAAACTATGCTTTCAGCCAAATGTCTACTTTCTCGGCGCGGCGTGTCCGAGCGACTCCGTTTGAGCAGTAAAATTTCCTAACGTTTTTTCGTGATTTTTCCACCCACACCATACACCCACTCTATTGTTCATAAAAAGTTAACTTATTTACGATTGTTATGAAAGAAAAGGTTCGTAGAAACACATTTTAAAAGCTCTGATAAAACGAAAACAAAACGTATATTTTCAACCAGCTTGTCTGTTGTTGAATAATTGTACATTGTTTAGTGATATGTTAGAACATTTTCGGAAAACTATAAACCGAAATAGTTTGAATACGACAGAGATCTCCAATGACACTCGTACTTCAATATATTGTACATGTGTTTATCTCTTCTGCTTATCGTGCTGCCTGTTGTATGTTTCTTGTTTTTTAAATAAAAATGTAATAAATTTGCTCCGCATTCTAAAGAAATTTGCCATTTCATCGGCAACTTTTTTTAATTATCTCGACGAAAAGATTGTCTATTGACACAGCCCACAAAATGCAGTGGCGGAGCAAGGGTAAAGTTTTTGATACGACAACACTTTCCTGCAAATTTAAGCAGCGAAAACTCCATGGGATTTTGTGAAAGACTTCTTTTTTTTTAAAAATCTTAGAGTAAGATGCAGCTAATTCAAAATTCAAGTGAAATTAATTTTGCTGATCTGTCGTTTAATGTATGCTGATCTGTCGTTTCAAGCTGCATCCGAATATCGCCTTCCCAACCTTCAAAAACCAGTCCTTATGAAAAAAGTCAAAATACTGAGACGGTCTTAAAACCGGAAAAAAACCGAGCTCTTTGATGAAATGACTTTTGCGCAAGTTGGAGGATTCAACCTATATTTTTCTGAATCAGCGCCAAAAATTGATTTAGAAAAAGGTTTTCAATTTACTTTAGACGTAAACACTCGTCCGCCATGGACGTTCGAAAGTTTGCTGCTCAAACGCGTTACTCAATTTTTCAAGCCTAATTTCTTTTTCTGGAAAGGTGCTGGAGTCAATATTTGCACCTCGCTAGATTCATCAGAAGGTCAACTATAAAGTTAAAAAGAGATTTTCAAAAATTCCTTTTCGTTGCTGAGAAAATTGATTTTTTCTAAATTAGCGGCGAAAAAGTCAGAATTCTGCTCCATGTTTTATCCATCCGAACTGAACTTTTATGCACTAAACATATCATGTTCAGAATCAGTATTAAAAAACGAATCGACTGATATGCATCTCTATTCTATCCGACTAAACTAATTCTTTTCGAATTTTATCTTGCATTCGTTCAAATATTAAACACTCTTGTGTGTTATCTTGCGAACATAGCTCATAATCATATTTTAAATACTTTATAATCACAGCAAAATTTAAGTCGAAAAGAAATATACAACAGATATGTGATGGAAAACTACAAACAGTTGATGATGAATGAATAGTAAAATATATTGAACAGTCAACTGATATCATTGTTGAAGAATTTCAAACACGATGGAATGATATGGAAAAAGTGATTGAACAACAAATACGAACGAGAAAGAATCATATGAAACCAATCTTACTTAATTTTGTTCACCTAATTAAATCAATGTCAAATGCTTTAGCTGGTGAAGGTCCGACATCAAAATTTATCAACGAGCTATTTATGGCATCGAGTGAAACTGTAGCAGAAAATGTAGAAAATAGAGGACTAAGTATGATTCTGATATTATGTTCATATTTGAAGAATATGAATATAAAATTTAATGGTGAAAACGTTAAGTTACAGCTATTTCTCGATGGGAAAAATAGAAAAATGGTCATAACTTTTGAACGAAAGGCCATAGGCACAAAGTCTTATTTTTTACAAGCTTGATACCCTCTATCTATTGACGTATGAAGGAACGAAATCTAAGTCAGACATGTCCATAAGTTTTCTCGTTAGTGATACCTAATATAAGTCACATTGAATGTACTTTTCATTTTCACATAAATTTTCCACGTACCTTTGTCTATGTGACTTTTATAAAACTCTCAGGTTCATTAAACACACAATACCAATTCTTCTACTGATAACAAGCAAAAAAATACACATTCCGTTTACTTTTGCAGTTTTCTGCAAAGGTGAAATGTGTTTATTTTGCTGGTTATCAGTAGAAGAATTGGTGTTGTGTGTTTAATAAACTTAATTTCGCCTTACGTCCGGCTTAACGTACGCAGTAGAAGTCGTTTTATTATCAAATTTTTATGGTCAATAAAAACTATATACACCTGTATCTTAAATTTTCAAAGTAAGCAAGCAATATGTCTTATCTTAACATACTTTATCTAGACACCAAACGCTAAACTCACTTGTGACAAAAACGCGTTTTTCAGAAATAAGAATGATGACGTAACTTTCCATGAATTTCGAAGTGCTTTTTGTGGCTGTGACAAAAATTCATCTAATATAACGAAAGTTCCGTTGGATGTGACAAAAATCCCGTTGTTTTAACGGTTCCTGCTAAAGTACCCTGCCGGATTTTTTAAAATTACAAGAAATTTTACAAGGCTCATCTCACATTAAAACTTTCCTGCAACTGAACAAAAAAAATAAATTTCGCCTCGTTGACTTTCAGTTGACGAAAGTACAAAGGACCCGGCCGGCTTTGAAACTTAAAAGAAATCAACAAACCGTACAAAATAAATTTAAAATTCAGCTCTTTTTTTTGATGTGTTCTTACATCACATGTTGACAATACGCATAACAATCACCAAAATCTTTATATTTTTAAATTAATGATACCAATTCATTATATGTTAAATCGTTACATCGTAATAATCTAACTGTACTAACAGCGTCAACTGCATTTTCCATCGTATACTCATTTATTAAATTTAGATGCATGCTTAAAATGTCATTAAAAAACATTTCATCAGTACGCTAAATGACAAAAAGAGAACCATAATTTATTAAGTGCCCATGTGCTAAAGATAAACAAGTAGTAGTATATTCAAAATCAGCATCGTTTTCTGACAAATGACATATATTTAAGTTAGTTGTCCAGAGATTGATGACTTTCATTTCTTCGCATGTTAGCTTAGCTCTACCGGATAAGTCCGTTTTGAGTAAGAAAAAATATTTTCCTTAAATATATGACGGTGACTATGAATAGTAGGCTGATTTCACTTTAAAATCTAGCTACTTTTCTGTTTGAAGAGATGAAGCCAATTTTTGCACTTCATTAGAACCGCCATTGAACGAGCTTTAAAAGTACAGATCGCTTTTTTGTTCAACAACATTTTATCAAAAATTTATCAAAAAAATGTGTTTTATCAGAAATGAATGCCAATCTATTTTTCCATGAGAAGTTTATGAGTGTCATTTTTTTACCTGTCTACACATAACAATAAATGGAACAGTTAGCTTATTAATCTTCTTCCGAGGAGCTACTCGCTTCAAATCCAATTTCTGATTTCCTTACGCATTGTTCATTTTCAAAAACAAATATTGCGATTGAAACTTTGCTTTGTCGATGATGTGTAATTATTGTACGTTTGACATTATAAATTCCTATTGAAACATCCATTTTCTATATCCACCACATATGTTAATTACTTGAGATAATGATATGCCAATTTTTACTTTATTATAAACTTCTTTCTTCATCTTTTTATCTTTTTACATGATCCATGACAAAGCCTTTTTACCAACTTTTTATACATTTTCCTTTTTCAAAAACAAATATTGCGATTGAAAATTCTGTTTGTCTATAGTATTTAATTGTCGTTTGCTCTTTTGATGTGCTCACTTGTCCATATCCACCACATATTTTAACTACTTTGGATAATGACATATCAACGTTTATTTTCTCATAATCCTTATATTCTATTTTTTTCAATCTTTTTGTTATTTGCTGTTAAAAACTACAGCAACTACCACCAGTAATAATATTGTTAATGTCGATCGTATCATATCGTAATGAAGAAATTTTAAATAATTGATAAATTATATATCAGTTCGTTCTTTCTTTAACATGATCAGTACTCAGATTGAACAATAAAATCTTCGGATTCCATATCGGGCAGATCAATAAGTGGCGAACAGCCAATTTCCCTTTTAAATACGTTACATTGTTAGGTATGAAAGAAATATGGAAATGTAAGAAGGTGGACTCTAACGGTTCTTTTCTTGAACTTCTAAGAGAATTGATACAAACAGTAATTAATCAGAATAAAACAGTGAATTCTATTCAATTCCATACATAACCCTGTATAAACAGTTTGATAAAAGTTAAAGTCTCATTTTTGATCAAAGAAAAGTAACAGTTGCGTCGAAGCCTCAACTTTGTAAATGTCTTTTAATGAACTTAATCCACAGCAAAACCTCTTTCCATTGGAAAGAGCACAATTGATAGTGCAAGACAATATCCAAGTCTCAGGCTAGGCAATCACAGTATGGTTTTTACTGTGGATCAAGTTCATTAAAAGACTTTTACAAAGTTGAGGCTTCGGTACAACTGTTACTTTTCTTTGATCAAAAATGAGACTTTATACAGGATTGTGTATGGAACTGAACAGCGCATCTTTTAAAAGAAGAATGAACTCAACTGGAACGGTTCCAGTTGACTTGTGAAGCAGAAATCTTTGATTAATAATTTTACTTTCCAGACCATGAAAATTTTCGCAGGGGAGCATCGACAATTTTTTGAATGAGATAATATTCTTATTTGCGTTTTGATAGTTTAAGTTTCAGAATGATATAATGGAAATGTATACTCTCAATTTCGTTCTGGTTCAAGATTAAAATTTAAGTCAATATTTTTTCTTCTTTGTTCTGCCGAGATTGTGGTACGTTAAACTGCTGCAAAAATCAGTTTTCTCTGTATCTTTTTCTTCAAATATTTACTCATGTTATTATTCATTCAACAAAAATTAAAACAGATTATGTATAAGCACGTATGACATTTAATAAAAAAAAAGCACATTGACATTGAATAATTTTTCGGCAAAACTAAACGATATTTAAATTGTAAGTTTGTCAATTGATTTATATGTGATCGAGCAAAAAGAATCCTTTGCAGGTATTAACGAGTATTAAGTTTTGCTGATCAAGGAACCGAGTAACAGGTCTCCACTTTCAGTCATTACTATTTCAAATGCACCCACTAATCGATTGAACATTTTTTATCTTCTACAGCTTTCCGTCCATCCGTCTGATCTTCGGTCTGTTTTAATTGTGTTTAAAAATACCAACAATGATACTTATTGTAACGTTGGTCACGTTAATATTTTTTGTGCAATCTAATTCGATGACACAGACACATAAGACTGTAGGTCCACGTACTATCGAAAATATTTTTTTCTGTATCTGCACCTGTCTTTTAGTATCATCGTCAACAACGTGGTTCTCCCCGAAGACAGACATCGTCATCACCTAACGAAACATATCAAATGATTGTGTTAAGTGGAGGAAAAGTTTATGGCATTCTCCCAGATCCAGCAAACAACAATAATTCACATACTTCTGAACCTCGATTCGTGGATGTTGTCGTAGCTGGTACGAAAATTTTAACGTTGTTAGAACCGTCAAAGACACATTCATTTATCGACGGTCTTCGTAGTAACAGTATTAAAGTCTTAAGAATTAATGTTGAAAATCAAATTATTATGCCGGGATTAATTGACGTCCATGTACATGCTATCGGTGGGGGAGGGGAACAAGGTTCGTTCATGCTTTTATGCAAAAACACATTTCGGATGGAAATGATTATTTCTGTTATTATAGGTCCATATTCAAGGACACCCGAAAGTCGTTTATCGCAGCTCATATCAGCTGGACTTACAACCATTGTTGGCATACTTGGAACAGATGGTATTACCCGAAGGTTTGTAGACACCAAGAATATTCTCACTATATCAATACTTAACACGTCTATTACATGACTTTTATTCTTTGAATTTCGAATTCGCAAAATCTGGTATTTTTCAGTATCACAGGCTGCTGTTATTACTTTTCCACCGGAATCATAAAAAGTTAAATGAAAATATTCAAAAAATGATAAACATAAGTGTTTCAAGAAATTTTTTTTCTTTGAGCAGTATCGACACATTCAAAAACTTTGAAGTATGAGAGATATTTTCATCCAAAATTCAGAAGTGTAATATTGGAACTGCCATCAAAAAATAATTCAATTGACTTCGCCACTAAAAAATACACTTATACAAAAATAAGAATGAAAATTGTTCTTCTCATTTAGCTGCAATTCACGATAATTTGTTTCTCAAATTCTGAAGGCACTTGTCTGCGACTTTTCGAAATTCAGAGAAATTCAAAGACAAAAACAGTAATCACCGAACCGAAACTTGAAACAAGTTAAAGTTATACTGTAATTCCAAAACTTGAAAAATCGTTCTTGGAAAGAATTTCATTTTTGTTCCTTTTTATCTGCTCAGAAAAAAATTCCACTAATTCATCGACATTCCATTCATTCAAGAGGAACTTAAAAAAGTTTCTTGTGTGTTTTGTCCATATTTGAATTTTGCTGGAACTCTTTTCAAAAATAGGCTTCAAAGAGTCCAGATTCCTCAAAATTAGATTTATGAATATTGATAGACCTCGCAAAATTAGAATTTCACACTTTAGAGTGACCGACAAAACGTTTAGGAGATTTTGTTTTTTGTTGTTTCCTCTTTAGCCATACTAGATAGATCAACGATAAAAACTGATTTGGATAGCTGAAAGAATCTCCAGTCAGAGGAGATGCATTTCCTGCAAACCAGATCTGTGAAAAACCAAACTCGAAAAATCAAGTGACATACTTCTTTTGTAGATAAATATAAAAAAATAAACACTCATTTGTATAAAGCAAACATTTCTGAGTAAAACTAGACACCGCGAAGCTCTTCACAAGGTTTTTTAATACAAACTGCATTCAATTTATGAACGGTCTTACATATCAAAATCACTTAAAAAAGAGTAAAATGACAGAGAAAACGACCGAGTGGTCTTTCGTAAACTGAATGCAGTTAGTATGAAAAAACGTTGTGGAGAGCTTCGCGGTGTCTAGTTTTACTCAGAAATGTTTGCTTTATACAAATGAGTGTTTATTTTTTACATTTATTCACAAAAGAAGCATGGGACTTAATTTTTCGTGTTCGGTTTTTCACAGACCTGGTTTCCAGGAAATGCATCTCCTCTGACTGGAGATTCTTTCAGCTATCCAAATCAGTTTTTATCGTTGATCTATCTAGTATGGCTAAAGAGAAAACAACAAAAAATAAAATCACCTAAACCTTTTGTCTGCCACTTTGCATTAAATATGTGTTCTCTGACTTTTGTAGCCTCTTGTCGTTGTTACAAAAACTGAAAGTAAGGTTGTGTAAGAAGCCTTACACTCTCTAATATAGCGAATTATTTATTTCAGAGTCTTGAATATGATGGTCTTTCAACATTTATGTGGACAGGTAGTTATCGGATGCCAATTGTAACAGTGACTGGTTCACTTCACAGTGATTTGTTACTCGTTGACAAAGTCATTGGTGCTGGTGAAATAGCATTAAGTGATCATCGAAGTAGTTGGCCAAATTTCGATGAGCTTGTCCACTTAATCAGTGATGCAAGAGTCAGTGGAATGTTGAGCGGGAAAGCGGGTGTCATTCACTTTCATTTGGGTTCATCTCCATCGAGACTTGATTTACTTTGGAAAATACTGAATGAAACAACAATTCCCATAAGACAAATGTATTTGACACATATGGCATCGAGAGGAGAGCTGTTGATTGATGAAGCTAAACGATGGTTAAAACAAGGAGGAGTGTGCGATTTTACAGCTGATTCCGATGAACAAAATGAAACAGCCACAATTGATACGTTGAACACATTCAGAAATCAAAAGCTCCCTCTCTCCCAGATAACTGTTTCATCCGATGCTTATGGGTAGGTAAGTCGACTGACGGAGATCTATCAGAAACTATGTTCAACCCCGTCTCTTCTCTACTTCTAAATAGGTCATTACCGGAATATGATAGAGAAGGACGTTTAATTTCGTATGGTATGAGTTTGCCCGTTTTCACATTGAAAACAATCCAAAATTTAGTTTTAAAATATCAATGGCCAATTGAAGAAGCAATACAATTTTCAACTGCTAACCCAGCCAAGTATTTGAATTTTAACAAAAAAGGTTTCATTGCGATTGACTATGATGCTGATATTCTAATTTTAAATCAAACAGATTTAACACCATTGTATGTTCTCGGCAAAGGACAGATATTGAAAACACCAACATGGATTAAACGGGATATGTTCGAACACATTAGTTAGATTTACACGTCATTCTATCGATGATTATAATAAATAAAAGTCAATTTCACGAGTTAATATATTGGCTTTTTTAGACTGGCGTGATTTATATAATCCTTGACCCGTTGTTGTTGGGTATACAGTACTGGAAAAAATTATAGAGCCACTGTATTTTTGAAATTTTTCGATGAAGCCGAGTGGCTAGATCAAATCTGAATAGTGATTTGGATAGCTCTTGAAATTCTCTATCAAATGAAATATGCGTTAAAATTCTAGAAAAAAGATTTTCAAGAAAGTTTTCTAGAAAACCCCTCCAGCAGAGCTCTAAATCCTAGAGAATTTTGCTAACAATATTTTCAATATAGCCATCTAAAAGAGCATAAAATTCTGAAAAAAATGAAGCGTCGCACAGCTCTCCATGATTTTTCGTTGCAAAGTTACAGGCATCAGAAAATCCAGAGAAATAGTATAATTTACGAAAAAACCGCCTAAAAAACAAGCAGAAGCACATCTAGATTGTCTGATGTCTGTAACTTTGCAACGAAAAATCATGGAGAGCTGTGTGACGCTTCATTTTTTTCAGAATTTTATGCTCTTTTAGGTGGCTATATTAAAAATCTTTTTAGCAAAATTCTCTAGGGTTTAGAGCTCTGCTGGATGCCGGACAGTATGAAGATGAGGGTAGTCGTCAAAAATAAATAGACATGTAGACGGAGGCTATGATCTATGCTTAGATATAGATGAATATTGTTCTTTTCTTTGTTTTGCTCATATTCCAGAATGAAAAAAGTCGCGTATATGTAGAGATTAGAACAAATTTTCATTTTCTTTTATTAGAATGAAATTCCGATGAGGATTCGAACGATATATAATAAACCTAAATGTAGTTAAGTTTTGACTCGCATACTTTAAATTTAGTGTCGTTAGATATTTTGTTGTATTTTTCCCATTCCTCTGTTTAAAGTGAGCGACAATGACCTTTTTTGAACCAAGATTGTTCCTTATTGCCTCAGTAATGATCGTCCGTACCTTTTTTCCCCGAAAATATCATGTTTCCTTTGCATGTTCCAAATACCATCCTTTGGCACTAATCTAAAGTCCGTTGCACAGAATCTCACGGAGAAACAGCAAGTTTAATGTCGATAGTCAAAAAACGAACAGTGACTCTAATGAGATTATTCATGACCTTTTATCGGCAAAAGTTGTTTTAATCTCAATCCAAGTAGATATTTTCAAAGCCCAAATTTCATGCAACAAACTAACCAAAGATATTTACTCATCTTGGAGAAAAAGCCAGTCGTCTGTCGGGGATGACCTAAAGTATGGCAGCTTCTGTTTTGTTGGAAACACACCAAACACTGAAATGTGGTTAAAACTTTATGTTTCAAAAGTGTATGATCAACTCAAAAACAAGCAAAAGAAAAAGAAAATTTAACAAATCCGTTGAATAGAACACGTTTTATGACCGAAACATACAGTACTGGAAAAAATTATAGAGCCACTGTATTTTTGAAATTTTTCGATGAAGCCGAGTGGCTAGATCAAATCTGAATAGTGATTTGGATAGCTCTTGAAGTTCTCTATCAAATGAAGTATGCGTTAAAATTTCAGAAAAAAGATTTTCAAGAAAGTTTTCTAGAAAACCCCTCCAGCAGAGCTCTAAACCCTAGAGAATTTTGCTAAAAAGATTTTTAATATAGCCACCTAAAAGAGCATAAAATTCTGAAAAAAATGAAGCGTCACACAGCTCTCCATGATTTTTCGTTGCAA